TTAACAAGATTATGGGGGGGGGGGCAGCATCACCCTACCCACACGTGATACGGCCCAGGCGTCTGCCTCTGTGACCTACGCCAAAAGCCAGCTCTGGAGGAAAGCTGCTGTTTCACTGACAATGAATCTTTCATATAAGAACAACATAAAAGGCTGAAACAACACAGACTATAGTGTGAACGTCTGTCACATTGATTTCCCCAAAACAAAGACCTGTCCTACTTTTTTTTAACACCTATATTAAAAAACTTACTTCAACACGACAGGACGTGGATTCTCACAGCTGTAGAATTTTAATCACAGATCAACAACAACGCTCTACAGATTGTACCAGAACGACCCTCTCAGCTCCTGCCCTCAGACATTTCTGGGCTTCAGTGAAAAATTCACTTGTGTCATTTGTGTGCAGCGCTTCATCCCACAAGGTCCAGCCTGCTGTTGCATTTAAACAGAGGAAGGAAGACAACGTGATTACAAATGAGCTGTGACAGTCAGCTCACCTGCAACCGCCCCAGACAGATGTGACTTCATTTTCTAACAGGAAGTTGTCAAAAAGCATCACAGGGAGCCACTGTAGAAGCTATGGGTCTGTCACCAGATGTAGCTACAGAGAACATCCATAGAATTCATTGAACATCTGCCAAAGGATGGCCATGGATGTGGTCTAGATTTTAGTAGAAGCTAAATCCAAGTTTAAAATAATCAGATATTTTATGTAATTTCCCAGTAATACTCAAGTATATTTGATATAACTACAATATACTTTCAAACAAAATACATTTACATAAATATCAAGCAGAAAAAGAAGACTGGATTGTTAATAAAAAAATAAGTTTTTTTCAATAAGAAAAATTCCAATAAAAATCCTGACAACTCGACCTGTTGTTCTTTTCCACGTAGGCAGTTTGTATCAGGCTGACTGCAAACTCCACCCACCACCAGAATAATGGTCCGTCTGACCAGTTGTTACAACTCTGATGGAAGCAGTTTTTTATATTGGTATTGGACACTGCAGCGTGTGAAAATATTGCAGACTGCCTCTGCCATCACCCAGCATTTCTTACTTTTTTTTGTTTGTTTGTTCAGATTTGATTCTCTCTAGCTTCTCTCAGCGTCTGTGATTTAGTCCTGTCTCTCGTCTGCTGCCTGTCTGTGAAACCGAGGATAAGAATGATGGCCCTGTAATCCATTGGCTCTGACAGTAATTTTTCTTTGTCTCGAGCAAAGAGAAAAACATATTGTGCACCGGAAAGATGACACAACAAGAAAGATTAGCTGTTTCATTAAGTTTCAATTTTAGTCTTCACTGTTTGTTCCTGATGGGATTTTTTTTTCTTTCAACTGACTTGATTTATTAAAAAAAAAAAGTATTTTTGGAAAAAAATTGATAGTACATGATCCTGTCTATTGCAGAATAGTTAACACTTTTATTTACCAGCCACTTGGTGAAAACGACGTAGAGGATAAAACTCTTTTCTGTGGTGTGAGTTCTGCAGGTTGAAAGCAGGGAGAGTGAAGAGAATGAACCCAGAGAACGTCTAACCTCGGTTAGTATTGCACAGGAGAAGCTAGGAATCAGACAGGAAGGTGTCAGGGGTGTTCTGAAAAGTAATGAAGTCCGGGGGTGGACGAATTGCATTGTTTAACATTACTACTCTCCAGACAAGTGATCGGCCCACAGAGGCTAGAAACATGGAGGGATCCATTTGACAGAACAGAACAGAACAGAATGTCTAAAGAATCTGAAGTTGACAACAATAATGATGGAGAGATAATAATAATAATCTGAAGAGACAGACATAAAGAGCACAGGGCTGGCAAAATACTAAAATTTTGAATTTAAATTAATCACGGGGTAGCTGTGGATAAATCATGTTTAATCACGATCAAATCTAATAATTCCAAATGATAAAATTATATGTAAAAATTGAAAGAATAGTAAAAGTAAAGAAAGTATTATTATATGTAAAAATTGGAAGAATAGTAAAAGTAAAGAAAGTATTAAAAGTAATTATTTACATTCTTTTTCACAGAGTTGGTCGACTTTAGTCTCCACTGTGCATCTCAACTGTGACTTGTCGAATGTGCCGAGAATCTTCGTCACATTTTGGAATAACAGTGTACCTCGATTATTGGTGATTTATAACAAATACCTATTTAATTATTTGTGATTGGACGTAATTAGTCCACATCAACACTGTGATTAATCTGAGTCAGATTAAATTTTTAATGAGTTGGAAAACTTTAACTAAATAAATCCTGACACATATGTTGGAATAACTGGAAATCCAAAAGCGGTTGTCAGATGTGACATCATGTGTGAGGTCGTTCTCCATCATCTGCCGCTGAACTGACAATAGTTTTCAATGATGACGATGATGCAGTTGGTTCTGGGCAGATACGTCGATATAATGTAGCTAGATATCTGATTTCTCCACTGTGTAATTGAGGCTTTCCCCCTGGATGGCTCTGGGATGTTATTCTTTAAGCAGCAGCATATGGTGGGATTGTTTTTGCCATCTGGCATGGAGCTCATTTAGAATTACAAACTTTTTGTCAAGGACTGCAATTGCCGTAGCATCAATCTACTCTTCACTGCTGCTCATTTTCTTTTCTATTATTTCCTATTTATATTCCGAAGAATTTCTTCAGGCCTGATTAGGCAGGAAAGTAGTGCGATATTCTAGAGGGATATCTGTTCATGACACAATTACATACAAAATAATAATCCCACTAAACAACAAGGCTGGTTTTTTATGATGGAAAATGAGATGCTGTGAAATAGCTGTTTACCTTTTTAATGTAAAACACCGGAGCTTTGATTTATTTTTGTCTATACTTTGTCAGCAAACGCACCGGCCTCAAACAGGGTTCACGTTCACTTCACTTTCATTTCACTCTGCTGTTCACACCGCTGTGTGTCGTTGTTGATGTTAGGTTAAAGTTTAGCTCCTGTTTCATCACAGCTGACATTTAAATGTTGTTTTATGTTGAGTGTATATTTAGACAAAGAACAAAGTTTACTGTCACTTGTCAGTTTTTTTGAAAAAGTTTAAATTAAAATTCTACCACAACCACACACAAAAAAACATCCACAACCACACACATACACACACAGCCCTAATGTGACCATAACACTAACTCTAACTCCAAACTAACTCTCAAACCTCAAATCACCTTATAAACAGACACAAAATAATTCATTATGAATGCCAGAACAGGCTGTGGTTGGCTGCCATCTTAGAGGAGTGCTGAGTGGAGTGGCCCATGAAAACTTCAGCAGTGGTGCAGCCGCAGCTTTGTATTCGCTTCTTAATATTTTACATTAGAGCGTGAGTGCTGCCATTTCCACACAGCGTTAACATATACAGCAGATATTCTGGACAGATTAATGTACTGTATGTGTGAAGGTTGTAGCGCCACCAGATGACAGGCCAGGCTACAGTGAAATGAATAAATCAATGTACCGTACGGGTCTACAGACATAATGGGAAGAGAAAATAAAATCAGACGATCGATGTGGCAGCTGGGGCAAAGGGCTAGGAATAAATCAATAAGGAAAACTATCCTACGAACCCCCCTTTGTGTCAGCACTGCAGAATACTGTCAGTGGCTCCGTGACTCTGTGCAGATGTAACATTATTAAATGGAACAGTGCATGTCTATGGGATACCTGGAAAATGTCACCACTTCCTTCAGCTAAAATGTCTGCAACTAATTAAAGAGAGCTGGCGAAGTTGCGCGACATTCTGGGACACGTTAGACTGAACGTCATACAAGGTGGGTCAAAAGTCTGCCGCCACTTGAACCAATCAACCAATCACACACTAGTGGTTGTAGATGCTGTGTTCCAACAAAGATGACGCAGATGTGAAGTGGTACGATTCATCTGCATAGAGGATTCCATTTTCCATTGAGGATTTATTGAAAAGGATAAAATCTAAGGCAGTTTTAAAAGTCACAAACAAAATGACCCAAGTCAATAGACATTACTGGTAAACTCCTGGGAAACATTATGCAAGATGACCCCCCAAAAAAAAATCTCTTGCGACCCACCTGAGGGTCGCGACCCAGTCTTTGGGAAACAATGATCTAAGGTGAGGTGCATTAGTGTACCATTCTAAACGAGTGAAGAAGAATACAACAGTTATGGCAGTTTACGTGATGTACGGTTTGAGTGACGTTATGGCAGTTTACGTGATGTACGGTTGAGGACAAATGATTATCATTATTATTCTTAAGTTTTCCTCTCATAGTGCCCCCTGGTGGCACCCACTTTCAAAAGCAAAAATGATATTTTTATCATGACATTTTTATACGTAGTGTCACAGAATCATTTTGATGCAATTACGTTGTCGGCACCAGCTTCAAGCGCTGTTACGACTGACTCTGTTACCATAGTAGTATTTGACTCACAAAACGTTGACAGACACTAAGGAAAAGCCGAGGATGTCGGAGGAATGTCAGAAAATCAATGGTATCATTCAGTTCTAAATGTCTAAGCAGTGTAGACGGAGCTGTAAACATCAGGTAGGTCATCCAAAGATCAACTGTCAGATGGGCTCAAGACACGCAGCCTCTCCCAAACACTGGTAATCAATATACATATCTGAGTGGTTTATATAAAGATGAGATGGACTTTAAACATCAAAGCAACTGGTTTCTGAATAAATCTTCTCGCTGCATGTTCGGACGATTGTCCAGACAATCTGCACATTATTATTGCCATATTTGGATTTGTTTGATTTGAAAATAATATGTGGTGGAACGACAGACGAGAATGACTTTGACTCTGTGCCTCTGTGTTTGTCTTGCAGCTGATTAATCAGAAGATTAGAATGTGCCTCCAGCTGTGTGACTGCAGGTCATTTGTGTCCGTGCTGGAGTACCTCCTCGCCATCGGCAATTACCTCAATGAGAACGCCGGAAAGGGAAAGGCCAAGGGATTCCGCCTCTCCTCCTTAACTAAAGTACGACTTCACCACTGTTGCCTGACCTTTGATTGAGTTGCAGCCCTAGGCTAATGAGACTACTCATTGATATACACTTGCAGTCTCCTAGTTTTTCCCGTCTCAACGTGCCTCCTCAAAACACTCAGTCTTCCTCACGTCTTGGACTTAATCACTTGAAAAGTTGTGCGATTGTCTCTTTGTCTTGTTTCACAAGATAAATGAAAGTCAGAGTCTGGCTGCACTGGTTGTAGAAGTAAACTGTCAGTGACTTCAGTCAGTCACTAACTGTGGGTTTTTCCCCCCGTGAACTGAAAGTCCTGGGTGTATTTTAAAGGTGACTTTTAACGTTTTTGGTAATGCTGTCGTTGTCTCGCTTCACTCAAAGGTTTTCCAAAAATATCATGAGGACCGTATCAGTTACATAGCAGCAATTCTAGTATTAACATTATATATTTTTAAAATTTTATTTTACAAGTGCAGCTTAACCCTCTTGACCCCCTGACCTTTAAGCTCATTTCTGAAGTGTTTGCATTTGCATTTGAAGATCCCAATTTCATTGCTCGAGTTGTGCGACAATGGTTTTGTAGGGCTGGGGTTTTCAAAAATTTGGTGCAAAAACATCTTAACACAGTTGGTGCTGGTGAAACTTTTCAGAAATGGTTCCCACGAGTCTGTGCAGTGTGTAAAAAACAAAAAAACAATAGGAAGACCATTTTTTTGGAACTCCCATGACAACTAGAATCAATGAGAGTTTCTGGAAACAGCAAAAGAGGAGGGCGGTTCCATCCCAGAAGGTTGGCCCCGTCATTTGTTTTTCTACGGCAAAGCACAGCAGCACTGCAATAACAAAAAATGAAGCTAAATGATACAACAATTCATTCAGTAAACAGTTCGCACTGGGAAAAGATCCAAAACTTGCAAGGTATGCAAAATTCAATGAAATGCAATTGAACTTTGATGATATTGCGCATATTTTGTGGCATAATATAATATTCTATTATTGCATGTAGGAAAGTGGAGGCAATAACGCACCCAGAGGAAGCAATGAAAAGCACTGACAAAATTTAGAATAGAAAAAATGGACGTTTGAAGAAACAGAATAAGGTTTGCGCTCATACACTGACTGACTGATCACAAAATTTCATTTTTTGTCTCAAAATTTAATAACAGACACATATACTGTTTATGTATTTATCATTATGGGTCATAATTTAATAACAGACACCTATACTGTTTATGTATTTATCATTATGGAAACAAATGGGCTGTAGCAGCATGTAGTAAAAAAATCCTGTTAATTTTAGTACTATTTTTTCAACTGTCATCTTAGATTTTTAGAACTATTTTCCCTTTTCTTCTTCTTTAGTCTGAACTACTCTAATGTGCAGGACCGTCTGGTGGGAGAGCTTGAGAGGCAGCACAGTTGACGCAGGGGTGAAACGTCTCCTGCTCCTCCATTTTAATAAAACTCGAGGCGTTGAGTTTTCACAGAGATGTTTCTAAGTTTAATTGAGAAAAGTGAACCGGGGCTGTTTGAGACTTTTCTTTTTGGCGTTTGTGAAATGAAAAGGCTGACAGCCTTCAACAGGAACACGTCGGGGTTATCTCAAATGTATTATGGTGTTTATTACGGTACTGTGTTCGAGTTCGCTCCTTTGTGTATGTAGAAAACCTGAGAGTGAGGTTAACAACTGCACATAGTAAACAGAGCAGGCGTGACGATGGCAGGCTCTCTGATGACAGTGGTTTGGTGTTGTTCTTAAATTACATCTAAGATGTGAACATAAAGGCCCTGCAGGGGGCGGTAGCGGTGGTTAGTACTTCTTCACTTTGAGCCAGAACCTTTATCGACACAACTGGGGATTGGAAATTTATAAAGAAAGTCAATGTTTTTATAGGGTTAATTTAGAAAATGTCCAAATTATACTTGGTTTTGACCATCTAATAACTTCATTGTTTCCAAATTATACTTGACGGTTTTGACCATCTAATAACTTCATTGTAGATATAGTACTGTAGTAGCTACTGATACTTTTGTTCTGCATCAATGTGATTGGTTAAGGCTGGTTGTTGGTGCCAATAGTGAGTACTGATACTTAGTAGAATAGTTACTAGTACTAACTATTTGTACTAAAACTTGTACTTAATACAACAACTACTTAAAAAAAGGAACTAATTACGCAATAATAATACTCTGTAGTCCACTCTACTGCGTCATGATTATTTTTAAGGTGGACTAAGTCCATTCCTTCTAGGTTAAAACCTCTTTTCTTGGAGTTTTTTTTGACAGGGGGACCATACTTTGTCTTTTTTTTTCCAATCCTCAGCTTCCGCAGCTTCGTGGGAAAGACAAGTCGTTCACCTTGACCCATGCCCTTGTGGAGCAGATCATGTTACATGACCCAATCTTGGCCATTTTTACCCAAGAGTTGGCAGAATTTGAAACTGTCCCAGGAGGTATTTGCTAAATGACATTTGATCAAAGCTGTTGAAACTGTTGGGTTTGTTATAATCCAGGTCTGTTTTTTTTTCTCTTTTATTTTTGGACAGCGTCCATAAAGGGTCTGACCGCAGAAGTAGACGGTGAGTAGATCACATTCTACTACTGTGTCTAAAGTCTGTAACGATGATCCTCTCTTTATGCAGACGCCAGTTCTGCGTGAGCGAGTGCGACTTGAACATTTACTACGTCTCTGTCAAACGATACTTTTCTTTTTTGCTCTTTCCTGACAAAACCTTCGTCTCAGTCGTTGTCTAGGGGCTACAGCAGCCCAATTTGATATATCGCCTCAATGATGACTTACAAAAAGTTGCCACGAGCGTAAATGCTACACTTCAGCGGATCACACAGGAGACAGCATCAGAGTCTGATTTAAAGCAGCTATTTGCTTCGGCGGTCAAATATGATGGATGGTATCTTAAGTGTGCATATTTGTGTGTGTACTTTGTGTATTCTTCCAGTTTTGAAGAATGAACTGCAGAAAGTGGCTCAGTACAGAAAAACCTTCAAGAAGAGTCATGCTGCAAGCCTCCCCCCCAAATTCTCCAAAGACCTGAAGGTGAGACTCAACGCTTATTTATTTGTGCATTAATTTAAAGTCAAGTTACAGTGATTTGGTGTCACGCTTCTCAACTAAGGCCATGGTTTCCCGTCACATTTCCCTTTTTTTTGCAAGAATGTGTTGATTTCATTTAGTCATTTATTCGCTTTTTTACTTTTAACTTAATCAAATAGTTCTCCCCCTAGTGGTGGATCTATTATATTTTGGTAAAATACACGGTAACAAATAAATGTAAAAGTAGTTTTAACATAAAAAATACACTTTAAAATTTAGAATAATGTATTAGTTATTATTATGAAGTCATTATTTGGGCCGAAACTGATAACAGTGCACTCTGAACTTTTCTTCTTGTTGAAAAAATATGTTTTTTTTCTTTCACCCAAATGCTTGATCAAGATTTAATTATATTTTGGTGAGAGCATATAATATTTCAAAATGTAATTTTGACTTAAGTGACATCACAGATTTGGAACATAGTTTACAGATTTGGAACATATTTAATTCCCATATTCGTAATCGTAATTGTAATAGGGTGCAACCCACCAAATACAACCCATTTTTAGGTGAAAAAACCCCAGTCCCTGTGACGGTTTCATCACTCCAACAATGGATGACCAGACTGATTTCCTCTTTCTGTGCAGGTGGCTGTTGATAAATACAACACAGATCTGGCTGCACTGACAAAGACGTGTGAAGAGATGAAGAAACTCTACGCCGCCGTGCTGGTAATGTCTGACTTATTACTGCAATACCTGTAGTGAGCAGCCGCGGTGATGGATGGCGCTGTGGTCCAGTCATGTCTTACTGACCCACTAAATTATTTGTCATTTTTTGATGTGACACTGGTGGACTGCTGTATACATATTTTAGAGGACGTCACCAGGGTCATTTTTCGGCACGTGCCCTTCGTGGGTCGATCCGTGTCCTCCGCCTCATTTATCTCAAGTATCTACTACTATCTGCTGCTTTGAAACATGTTTTGATACCTCGGTTGATTCCTCTAAATATAAGGGATCGATATCTGCTCTCTGTGTGTCAGCGACAAGGTGTGAGAAACAAGTTCATCGTGACTTCTGAATCTGCAGTGTCACAAAAGTGACTGATGAACAGAAATATCAAAAATAAGAAGGTGAAAATGCTTCCCTGGTGGGTGGCATGATGGGATTTTTCTGAAAAAAAAAAGTCTAACCAGATTTTGTTTTTTTTCTCGTATTTTATATTTGAAGCCTCAACTTTGGCAAAGATTTGTTACGTGTCCCCAATCTGGGTAAACATTTCATTAGTTTTATTCTTTTAATTATGTGAATGAAAAAACATACCGTTTCGACCATTTCTGGCGTTTGTGAGAATCAAATATTTGATTTTTTTTTGTAAATGTTCCTTTAAAGGAGCTCCTTCACACTCAGCTGCAAACAGTTTTAGCATCAGGTGAAGGTCACAGTTGATGATGCAAGCAGAACATTGTCTGCAGGGAATCCTAACACCTCTAAAACTGACACCGTCCACCATTTGGAGGAGCTCATTAATTCCAACCATAAAAATTATGAAGAGAGCAGATGACAAATATTCTTAAAAATCCAAAAGCCTTTGAACAGGAGGCTGAGCTGCTACTACCAGAGCCACAGCACACAGGTGTGTCAGCCACGGCTGACCAATGGTGCCCATGGCATTGTGAAATTGTTTATAATTCTGGGACATTTTCAAAGGTGACAGTGAACTCACCTTGAAACTTTTTTTAGCTAATATTTTAGTGGTTTGAGTCCTAGCAGCCAGGTTTACTCCAGTTCACTGTGTCAACATGGGTAAACTATGAGTACACTCACTCCCTCTGCTGAGACTGGAGTACACAGTGTAATTCTAGCAGGCAAAACAATTCATCCTACGTCTCGGTTAAGTTGGTCTTAGAACACAAACCTTGCGTTGACGTGAACTTGGTTTGCCCTAACAGCATTCATCTAACTCCAGCACAAGTTTAGGCTACCTCTAGAACACATTCCATGCCCATGTATCAATGGGAATCAAACCAGCAGCCCCTGGCACCTACGTAGTCTTTCTTGTACCACAAACACGTCGGCTTTCCCTTAGTGTGCTGTACCAGCGGTTTCTGTTTCCAGCTGAGCCAGATTTTGCCTCTTGGATAAAGATCTATACAAAAGCCGACTTCTTACCCCAGGGCGACCTCAGGGCAAGAATCTACTAAGCCTTCAGCCATTTTTTTTCATTCTTTTTCATGGACATCTACTTCAACCACACTCAGTCTGACTCTTCACCCGTGGCAACATTACAGCAGGGAGTCCCTATCTGGGCCTAAGTGGCTCCGACACAAAAGCTTCGAGGGTCACAGCTGCCCTCGTAACCCTCCCCTGTATCTGTTTTATAACAATCCTAACATCGTCACGTTTACTGGAGGCCTGGATTCTTCCTGTGAGCTGCGTCAACACAGACAAATCATCCTCCCTGCTCACTAACCTGGTTAGATTAGTTCTACGGAGCTAGAGCTTATATTTGACGTCTTAACAGGCGCTCTGTCTCTCTTTACGGAGCCCACACCAAAAACAATCAATACAAGAACAGTGGCCATTTTCTCAGCTTCCCCCGTATCTCTACGGGCGATCCATCATCACAGCCCGTCAGCTCACCTGTCTTGCTGTATTTGACCACTGAGATGTGGTGGTACGAGAGCGAGAGAGAGAGAGAGAGAGCTTCAGGCCTGAAAAAGAAAATGATACACTACAACAACCGAGGGTTTTCTTTCCCTCATGTAAAAAAAAAGAAAAAGAAAAGAAAAGTAGAGAAATGACAGATACTGATGTCTGATGTCTCTGACTGAGATCACACTCTTTATAAAGACAGGTTTAAACCTCATAAGGGTCGTTAATGAGACGCTAACGAGGTGATAATACATGGTTGGGCACCATTTTATAAGCTACAAGAACAATTTTTGGATGATGGAAAGGTATTCCGTTTTAAGGAGAGTGATTAAGATTTAATATTTGAAAGTATATTCTACACTATAAAGGATAAAGACAGTCTCTGTGGCTGTTAATGGGTCTGAACATAATAATCTGTTGATATTAGACTGGAACAAAACAAAAGTGAAAGTTATTTATTGTCCTCTGCCTTAACCCACTACCTTTGTCAGCAGGGGGCAGCAACGGGCATTTTGTGGTTGAAGAATTCTACGAGAGTCTACTGTTATTGTCCAAGCAGTGTTTACATAGTTGCTATGCTAGACAGGAGTGTTAGCATTTTGGCGTAGACACAGTGTCATGAGGGCGAGGCTTAGTGTCTGCGTACGGCGATTCTCAAAAATGTCAAATGAAATCTTAGAAAAAAAAATGAAATATTATGAGCAGTTGTATTCCAATATTCTTCCAGCTGACATAAATTACTTGGGTCAATACCTTTAAGGTGCAGCGCTAATGGCCTTTGAAAGTTTAACAGTTTGACCTTTAAATGCAGCCTAACCTCCGGGCTATGTTTTATATTTTTAATAACGGTGCAGGAAGTGCTAAATTTATCATCGTTGCTGCATATTTGGATCAAAGTCTGGGGAACAAAAATAGATAGAGATGTTCTTTCTATCCATCCATCCATCCATCCATCCATCCATCCATCCGTCCTAAAGAATTATACCTGGAATTCTACAAAATATTCTGTGCCTTGTGACCAGGAATCATTCATCAAGAAAATGGACAAAAATGCAATGATTCTGACAGTGTGGACACCTTGTTGTAATATAATCATCAGTCATACTGCGAGTAAATCCTTCTGAAAACACAACAATCTGCTGGAAAAGTTCTGTAAATAATGACTGGGCCTGACAGATCCTCGGTGCTGTTTAAGACGGAGGCAGGTTTGGGAGAAGGCGTCAGATTTTGACACCTCATTTCACCTGCTGCGTCTATTGTGAAGCCATTTAAAAAGTCAAGGTGTCACATTTTAAGACACGGTGCAGTTGATGTTCATAAATGTTTTGAAAGTCGTCACGCAGTATAGATAATTTTTGTAATTATTTCTTTTTAAACGGTGTTTTGAAAAGCACCCAAAGGAATAAGAGGAAGGAGGAAAGTCATCGTTGACAGTTTGATTTAAAACTGCTGATCACATCTGACCAATCAGATTGCAGTTTGACTCAAACTGACGACCGTGATACTTCCGTAAAAGTCGACAGTTGTCAAATTTAGCTAGACCTGAATCTGTTGTGCAGGATTTAAGAATATGTTTTGTAATGAATAATACATTTTCTATTACTGCGGCAGTACTTTAGTTCGTAGTATTGAAATATTGCTAACTGTTAATTTCTCCTCAAATCTCCATTACTGTGTATTATGGACTTTAAACGTAGATATTTACGCTCCGTGCTGTTTGTGTTTGAGGGCTGCGGAGTGTAACATAACGACACACCTAAATTTCTTTTATATCATTTACTGCTGACATCATCATTCTCACTGTATCAATTATGCAAGTCGGATGTCACCCCGAAAAGAAGAAAGCCTCATGAAGGAGGGGAGCGGGGGGTGGGGGTTGTGAAAACATTTCTGTCTGGGGTGAGGGGGGACAGAAATGAAATTGAGAACCACTGGATTACAGTAAGTTAGATTTACTAAGACTGTAAAGGGGTGACAGAAATGAGAATGAGAACCACGGAATTAGAGTAAGTTAGATTTACTAAGACTGTAAAAGTTAAGGTTATAGAAAGGAGTGCTAACAAACCACCAGTGTGTGTGTGTGTAGAAACAACCCTCTCTCTCTCTCTCTCTCTCTCTCTCTCTCAAATTGCTCTCGTACAAAGTAATGGAATGTCTAAAAATTATAAAATGCTGCACGAGTCGACTGCATACAAGAAGCCAATTAGCGCCACTTAGCCGCTGTGACCCCCGGTGAAAAGGTCTGACCTGAGAACGACAAATATATTTTTAAGCTGTTGACCTGGCAGCTGGCAGGTGTTGAGCGTTAATTTCGCAGCACAGTGAGAGTGGACTTAAAAAATAGATTCCATGCTGAGGCAGTGTATTAGGTAATTATATCAACGACGGTCGTCGGGCAGAAAACGCACACGTCACGGTATCTGCTCACGGTCAGAACTGAGATGAGGATTCAAAAAAGATAGAAAATGACAAACTCAATGATGATGATCAGAAAATGTTATTTAAGATGAGACTGAAGTTTTTCTTTTGAACCTGTCTTTGCAGGTTAAATTTGGAGAACCAGCGAATCAAGACTCTCAAGAACTGTTTGGTACCATCAGTCAGTTTGTGCACGACTTTAAGAGAGCGTACAGTGACATCATATGAGCTACACAACCGTTAAGTATGCTTTAAAAAGGGAAATGTATTCAGTATTTACTGTATTAGGTTTGTTCTTGCTTGGGTTATATACATTATTTTATTGTATAATATGTTCTGGATGTGAATAATTGTACAGAAATAAGAAGTGTTTCTGAGTGTCTTTGGTCAGCGATGACTTTTTGACTTGAAGTTTACTCTGTAAAATTTCCTCTGAAGCCAATCAGTGAGGAGTGATTCTGAGACGTCTGCTTTGTGCACAGATGCTCTGCAGGCAGAGGAATAAAGCAGAGAACACTTCAGAGGCCACACGAGGCTGATGTAGTTTGGTGTGTAATTATTCTGAATACGTAATAAGACCATGGTCAGGGATGTTTCCTCTCCCTCTGCTGCCGCCAGAGCTCCAAGGCTGTCTCTGAGTCAGGACCACAAAGGCACCGTTTCCACCGTACACCGTTTGAGACACACACTCAGCTTTAAAGGCAGAGGGTTATTTTAGCATTGATGTTTTAACACAGCGTGTACATGCCTGACATTTTATTGATTCAGTGAAAAACCCTTTCTTTTAATTTTCCTTTTCTTGTTTTTTTCTTCTCTACGCCACCGTGTCAGCATTTAATTTTTTTCTTTTTAATAATCAACCACTCCGATCTCTTTCCTGTTACATCCCAGGTTTACAACATATATAAACAATTATTGTAAAAAGTATATCTCATTATTTAGGGCTGTAGGGCAGCAGTGGATTTAGTCACAATCAATTATGATTAAGAAGAATGGAATCAGAGAAAAAGTAGATAAAAAAAATAAAAAAATACGAGACAACAAAAACTTTTTTTTCTGATTATTCCCAGAACAGAAAGACAAATAACAAAAATGTAGCTTCACTGAGTTTAGACTGGATGTTAGTCATTACAGTTCATCACAGCTGTGATTTCAAAACGTGAAGTGACATCATCTAAAATTCTCATAAATTTACGACTTGAATAACTTAAACAATTATATTTTAGTATTAAATTTTAAATTAATATTTTATAATGTTACTATAAATACTTTGATATTATTATTATGTTATTTTATATAAATTATTATAAAACTACTGTACATAAAACGTTCTAAAATTGTTTGTTGTTTTTTTCAAGTACTTCAACTCTACGCAGCCACACATCTGTGTGTGTATTTCTTCATATATGATTCGTACCAGTACAACAGACCACAGGAAACAAATGGACCTGGTGTTGATCCACGACCTCAGATGTTGGCTTTTAGAGTTCAGCCGGGCTGTACGTGAGGACGTTCATATTTCCTTGGAAAATGGGCGTCTGAGCAGCATACAGATTTGTCAGACTGCTTTGATAAATTTTGTCTCGGCTTTAAAAAAAAAAAACAACAAAAAAAAAACTTTTTTTTGTTCTGTGGACGGAGCAGGAGCTGATCACAGCCTGTGATGTCCGGAGGCAGGGGCTGATCACAGCCTGTGATGTCTGGGAGAGACAGTTGGAGGAGCTTTACCGTGGATGTGAGGCGTGAGAATCAAATGTAAAACTGCAAATTGCATCCGGCTGGTATTGACTGAAGCATTTTCAAATTCTTGGGCCGAACTGAGAACATTTCTTCTGAGACCCAAAGTTAGAACATCTCTATGAAGGACAGGAGGAGAGTCTGCGTCTCTGATGTCATCTGTGCTTCTTCTTCTTCTACTGCTGCTGTGTTTCTGGCAGACGTCATGTCACATTAACCCTCTCCTTCTCCTGCATTTACATCAATTATTGCCAATTATCCACATTAAAGTTTCTACATATCCTTCTGTTTTGGAGCGTAACCCAAGAAAAAGAACCTACGTAAACGACGGCTGTCGCCTGATGATGTCATCGGTCTGAGATTTCTCTTCTTTCTATGCACACTCACTGCTAGGTATTTATTTCCATTCAAAGGACACGACTTAATTAGATCTCATAAAAAAGCTTCAAATACAGTTGAAAAAAAAATTAAAGGTAAATGACTTTTTTTTTTAATTATTATTTTAAAACTATTTTCTCAACATCTTCACTTCACTGATCCCCAAGGGTGAAAACTCTCTGATCAAATAATTTATATTCAAATATATACAACTAAAACAAAAGAGAATCCAGAAGAGGTTTTCTCCCCATCAATATTTATGTCGGCCATATTTCTGAATCCAATTTCACTTCCAGTGAATCTGTGACTCATAACTTTTCACCATTGACTAATAGCCGACAGTGTTGACCTTTGTGGGAACAAAGAGCTGAGAGTCCAGAATGAAGGAAGCTACGGTTGCTTATTAGACACGCGTGTGTGTGTGTGTGTTGTGTAAAATGAGAAATGTTTGCATTTTTTAAGTTTCTAGCGACCCGTTCCATCGTTTGTGTGTGTACCAATCAGACATCGGCTCAGAGAAAGTAACAGAGAACTTTTAGAAACTACGATTCTGCCTTTGATTTTTTCTCACTGGTGAGAGACAAGAGAATTGACGGCGACAGAACTACGTTGAGACGCACCACATTAGGCACTGATCCGTTTGATATGAGTGGCCGCTGATACAAATCTCATAAAAACAGTCAGCTATTGGGTTTCATTTAGATCGATGCTCCAAATCAACAGTGGCTGACGGGGGAAATCAGACGTTCGCAGGTGCATTAGAGTTTAAAAGTGGCCGTAGAGTTGTGTGTCGCAACCTCCATGATGTGTTTTTTCAAATTGTTCAAAACTCTTCAGATTATATTAGAGCTGATTCATTTCACTCTGTACAGATGTCCCTCTGACTCTGACTGATGGCAGTGATTCAACAAATGTCAACTTTGTTTACATTCAAACAACCTAAGCTAAGTCTCTTTACTCCGTTGGTAACAGGCTGAAGTTCCATGTGTCTCCACTAGTTTTTTTGTTATGATTTTATATATATTAGCTCTGTACACAGATCTTTCTGCACAGATTAAATCAGATTATGGCAGGAATATAAAAACATACACTTCATACTCTACGTAGATGATGCTGTGATTTTTACACCAGCTGAACTGATTGATCACAAGTCAAAACAACAACTTACAAAAACTAAAATAAAAAATAAAAAATAAATGCCAATCTGTGTCTCACCGACACATCATGACTTGGCTTTCTGAGACCTGGTGGTATTTTTTGGAATATCTCATTTGAATCTCAACAAGTTAAATATATTGTATCTGGTATTTTTACTATGTAATTTGTATTTGTTTATATGGCCAACAACTTGAACATAGTTTTAATAAACATATTGGTATTTGCTGCCTTCATATGGCTAGCACATGCTAATTGTTAGCTCATCTACTAGCTGTCCAACTAGCTGTAACTCACAGTGCAGCTCATGTGTCAGGACGCCCAGTCTGGTCACTTCTCCCTGCACTGACTGGTTCCCTCCACAGATGAACATCCATATGTAAAAGTCTATGATTGGATTCATTTTGCTGCATCAGCTGCTGGAGTCTGTCTCTGTGTTCTAACAACTGCTGTGACGCTCTTGGTTTTGTGTGTAAATAAAAAAAAAAATCCAGGGTCATTTTCATCTCATATCTTTCAACGACTCCAGAATAACTCACACACTGAAACAGCACAGCACGCCTGAGCATCAGCATCAGCATCAGCAGCAGCACCAGCATCAGCAGCAATAGGATGAACTTAGCACTGCGAGGAGACAGGGACAGAATGACATCACTCAACATCAGTGGAGGTTACTGGTGTGTAAACCACAGGGGAAACTCATTCTGGTGCCAGATATTTGAATATAAATATACACTCTCCCTGGTAAAGGATGAACTTCAGCGAGGAAAGACAAAAATATATGAGCTAACATTCATACATTAAACTAAAACAAACTAAAAGTTTGTCCAATCATCATGCAATGTTATATATTAAACTAAAACGAACTAAAAGTTTGTCCAATCATCATGCAGATCCCAGCGTCCATGGTCAAGTGTCAAGTGTAACGACTTTTGTGAAAGTTTTTTCTTTGTGTTTTTGGATTAAATCATTGTTTTTCAAGGGTCACCAAGAATATTTGTTTTTGTTTTTTTGTTTTTTTGTTTTTTTGTTAGAGGGATCAAGACATTTTTCTGGAAATACACCTCAAATAAAATGAAATAAAAGTTTTTTTGTCTAACATTGTTATTTGATGTTAGTTTTGGAATACAGTCATGGGCCAAACTGAGTGAGGACGGACACAATAAGGATTTACTGCTTTGTATGAGACAGGAGGACAGAGGTGATGTCCTCACACTTCTAATCTCCCGTCAACACCACGACAGGACACTTTGAATGACACGTTGATTTAATGCAGCATTAAAGGACAGACACGAGTGTCTTTTACTGAACCTCAACATCCCATTACAGGAGTCTCAGCACTTTGGCACATTAAGGACTTTCTGTTTGGCGGTAGGGGGTAGGGGTGGGGGGGGGAATTATAAGTGAGACTAATGGATTTGACATGAAGTTCAGCTCAGTGTCAGGGAGAAGCTGCAGCACAGTGACTGTAGAGTGGAGACAGAGGTCGTCTTCTGTGGGTCTTCATCACGTCTTCTGTGGGACATCACTGAGTTAAAGTTAAGGTCCAGCAGGACAGGTTCTCCTGATGAGTCACTGCATTACAGGGAAACCTGCAGCCATGTTGGACAGAGAGCAGGGACAGGGAGAGGAGTTCAAAGGCTGACGTTCACCTCTGTTTGTATTTGGTTTGATTTAACCGGAGAAAACCAGAAAGGACAGTGACGTGGGAATGATCACACCGTGGATTTTTTTCCTCTCACTCAGAAACGGCTCATGTCGAGTGCATCTTCATTAAAGGCAGCAGAGTTTAGTCGCAGCCTGTTGTGAACAGGGTTGGCGGTTCGAACACCTTTCCGGTAAATTAAGACCCCTGTCTCAATTAGAACTTCCTCCACGTGCGTGCGTAAAGTGGAATCCTGGGCGCGCACAAGCGCAGCGCTTCACTGCGGGCACCAGCTGCGTTATTCGGAGGGTGAGGGTGAGGGCTACGGACGATTCATGGACCGATCCGCCTCTCAGATTGGACCGGTCTTATGAAAAAAACCCTTGACATGGTCTGTGTCGGTCTCATCTGAAAATGAGACGCGCGGACCTCCGTTGGTGAGCAGATTTGAGGTCTTCTGAAGGATTGTGGATATTTCGGGGTCTTTTTTGTTTGTTTCCCGGGGTCTGATTGTGTGATGGGGATATGACACATCTGAGGAACCAGTGAGAGAATTCTTCAGCGTCAGGCGCGTCTGCGGCGGGAGGACCAAGCGGAGGGACTCGGAAACTTGTGTGGCGCAGGAGACCGCGTCTCCCTTTTTTTTCCGCGACGGTGCCGTCAGGGAGGAGAGTGAGGGAGGGAGCCATGGTGAACTCTCTCCTACTCGTCTTCAGCCTGACTGTGCTCTCCGAAGTGGCCAGGGCTCAGAATGACACGGAGCCCATCGTCCTGGAGGGCAAATGCCTGGTGGTCTGCGACTCCAACCCCACCACGGACTGGAAGGCTTCGTCCTCTCCGCTCGGCATCTCCGTGCGCGCCGCCAACTCCAAGGTGGCTTTCTCTGCAGTCCGGAGCAACAACCACGAGCCGTCGGAGATGAGCAACAAAACTCGAATCATCTACTTTGACCAGGTCGAATGATTTCATTGACATCTGTTGTGTTTTGTTTGTTTATCAGCCGGTTATTTTTTTATCGCGATTTTGCTGTTTGAACGATAAATATCGAGTCTGCACTGGTTGTGTTTTTCCACCATTCCACCTCTGTGTGGAGTTATAGGATGAACAAACAAACATATATGTGTAAATATAGTTTCTGAAGTTTGACATGAAGAACTGAGGGCACATTCACCTGCAGCAGGTTTGACAGTGAGAGGACTACATGTCCTGAGGGTGGACATCCTGCAGGGGCAGCACACACACACACACACTCATCACTTTTGGCCCCTTTGCAACAAACCCTTATCATCCTACACATACACACACACACACACACACTCCATCAGCTACACTGCACACCCAAACAAGTTAAGCCAACAAGGATGATCAGATTAGTCACACAGTGGTGGGCAACACTCATCTCCCGCCTTCTCTGCTCAATTACATAACATCACCTCCTAATGTCAGAACAGGCTGCAGGTAATCACGTTTCCACGGCTCCCCATGGGTTTGCCGTCGCTACGTGTGCAAAGGTGAGGTCGGCCCAGGCCCCCGGGGGGCGCAGCGGAGCCTCAAACAGGTGGGAGTCCAGTGGTTGAGACTCAGCAGGAGGTTGAGTGGAGCTGTAAACCCCCCCCCTCCCCCCCCCTCCCCCCCTGTGTCTGCACACTCTGCATCCAATATGACCGGAGAGCATTAGAGAGCATGAGTGACACTCCTGAGACTGGGCCACCTCTCCTGACTGACGTCAGCTGCATTATTCATAGACAGAGAAAACGATATTATTCATGGAAATGCTTTTAGTTCAGTGTTTTCTCGCATGTGTCGCTCACTGACCGAGACTGCGATTCCGTTTTATCTTAAATCCTCCCCCTTTTTGCATCAAAGTATGGCCCCCCTCCTCTCCAAAAAAAAAAAACAAAAAAAGTATCAGTAATATCATTTCCTCATCTCCTCTGTGATCTTTTATTTTCCATTAAAAAAGAGTAAAAAAAAAAACCAAAACCTAAAGGGAGCGTTTTGTTCACTGAGTGGAGATTTTAAATAAATGCCACCTGACTCATAACAGGGGGTGATTTCCTGCTCATGCATATTTAATCCTCGAACCTGATTTGAAATATTGATGAAAGTGGTATTTGAACACTTTGTCACGACGTGATTTCCTCTCTCTCTGTGTGTTTCATTCATCCAGGTCCTCGTCAACATTGGAAACTACTTCACGTTTGAGTCAGTATTTTTGTCCCCGAGAAAAGGAGTCTACAGTTTTAACTTCCACGTCATTAAAGTGTACCAGAGTCAGACCATTCAGGTACCGACGTTTTCTGTTTTCACACTGCTGTCTGAGGAATTTACAAAAAACAAAAAACAAAACCCCGATTTTGGGGCAAAAAACGGGAACTAAAATGGATTAATACAGCTGATCAGAACTCACAATGACTGATGGAGCTTGCATTAGTGTTTCTTCAGGTGAACACCAACAGGGGGCGGTAATTTGTCCTCTGTTAGCAACATTCAGCAACAGTAAAAAAGAAAAAAAGAAAAAAAAAAGAAACCAGTGTCACTGTTGGATTTTCAGCAGAAACCCAACACCTCACTGTCATTTAAATTTAATGACGCCTCTTGCAATAATTAAACATCTATTTACGGATGTAAATAATTAACCGTGAGTTAAAAATGCTGTTAAGAATTTAATCTTGTTGAAATCTAATTACTGAAATATCCAGGATTTTTTTTTAGAAAAAATAAAATACAGAAGGATTGGATTTTTCCACACACAGATTGGTGTTAGCAAAAAAAAAAATTATACCATTTACTTTTGATGGCCTTAGCATGAGCTAATGCTAATGAATTTGTAGCTACATTACAGAGCTACATGCCGTATTACTCGTCAGTGATAACGATGATACATTGTTTGAGGATAAAATGTTGTTATTTCATCCTGTCGACCTTCACCTTACTGTTTGACCTTGAAACTAAAGCACAAGTGGAAGAATTT